TCCTCCTCCTCCTCCTCCTCCTCCTCCTCCTCCTCCTCCTCCTCCTCCTCCTCCCTCCTACCTCGTCGCAGAGATTGATCAGCTGGCTAATATCATGGACGAGGGCGGTGACACGGCTACGGCGGCTATGTACCGCAGAGAGGCGCAAGCCTGACGTCAAGCTATGGTGGAGCCTCCCATTCAGACGCAAGTCAACTTGGCTTGGCATACAATAAGATGCGAGCTACGGAAAAGAAATTACAAGGGGCACTTACCACGCTCGAGAGCGAGCTCCTGGCAGCAAAGACATCCCACAAGGAGCTGGTGTCGAAGCTGTCCCAGTCGGTACAAGGTACAGTTCCAAAGCCTGGCAGCCTCGAGAAGACGCCAGTGATTGGCATGGACTTCTTAACGGAGGATAAGAAATAATGTGAGCTCAGCCCCACGGACAAGAAGGATATGGAAGCCAGGTGCCATGCGTTGCCAGCAGGAGTCAAACAGATGTGCACGCACAGGCGAAGGTCACAGCGGACAAGATAAGAACTGAGCACGCTGAGCACCTACATCGTCTGTCTGCTGTCAAGCGTGCCCGAATCCAAGCTGAAGAGTCTCGAGCTGCAGGTGACGCTCCAGATGCCAGCGCCATTGCAGGTGCCGCAGATGCGCCAGCAGGTGAGAGCCAAGCAGCGAGCTCGCGGGCGACGGTGTCAACAGAGGCGGCATATCTTGAGGTGCAGGCGGCAGAAGGCCAGGCCGAAGCAGAGGAGCGTGAGGGTCTCAAGAAACGTTCAGGAAATCCTTTGCAGGACGACCCTTCCTCTGCTGCAGCGTGAAGCGCCAGAGCAGGGGGGGTGCTTCAAATTCAATTTCAAATTTGGACGCTTATTATGTGGCCTGTCGGCCTTTCTCATGACAGCGTTGTCGGCCAGTCGGCCTTTCTCATGGCAACGCTGTCGCAGACGACACAGCGTTGGCATCGCAGCACGTTGGCAATGCACAAGACATTCTGGGCGCTATCACCTCGGAAGGACAGAAATACGGTTTGGAGTTGAACGGGAACAAGACCGTACATACCCAAATCTCCACACATGACCAAGTTACGAGGCCGGGTGGGCAACCGATCAAGGTTGTAACAGAAACTGAAAATTTGGGAGGACTGGTTACGCAAGACGGACGAGTGGGCAATGAATTGACCAGGCGGTTGGGGAAAGCTGATCTACTTTTCTCTCCAATATAGGCTTGCCCTATAGGAGTTCCAACTCAAACCCTGCTAATTGGTCCGTTGCCCCCCCACCCACCTTAATTCCGATGCCCCACCCACCCTAATTCCCATAGCTATGCCTATGCCTATGCCTCCCCCTAACTCCTATGCCTACGCCTATGCCTATGCCTATTCTCCAAACAGGCTTTCCGTATAGGACTCCTAGCTCATCATAAGTAATTGGTCTTTTGCCCCCCCCCCCTTTTCCAATGGCACCCCGACCTTATTTCCAATGGCACTCCCCCCCCTTTGCCAATGGCCTCTTGCTTGCTTGTTGTTGCTCGCTTGCTCTTGCTTGCTTGCGGTTGCTTGATTTTGCTCCTCCCGTCCTCCTCCCGTCATCCTTTCGTCCTCCTCCCATCCTCCTCTCGTTCTCCTATCTAGTTGGAGTCAACGCAGGCTGATATCAGCAACTATGCAAGATCTGGGGCAAGTCTTCAATTGGGAAGCAACTGCAGCTGATGATCTACACGTCTTGCGTCCTCTGCAATCTCCTGGATTCGTTGGACTCGTTGCGGCTCTTGAAAACAGACGCATGTAGACTTGATGCTGTCCAATGCAGCTGCTTGCGGAAAATTATTGCGATCGCTTCGTCTTCTTTCTCGAGGGTGTCTAATACAGATGTGCTGGAGACGGTGGGGTGGTGAACGACGCGGACTTGAGCCCGCGCCATCCTGTCGACCTGCTCTTTTACCCCGCTCCCGCGGCGCTCAAGGCGCTCAGCTTTCGCAAGCCCCCACCATTCCAATCTGAACCTGACTTTGGGCCACGACCCCAGCAACACTGCTGGAATAACGTGCTCGGTGTTGCTCAGGAGGGGCTGAAGGCGGTGGGGGAAGGGAACGGTAAACATGTGGAGAACCTACTATCTATGGGTTACGGAGCCGGGGCTGACATTGCTGAGCAGGAGCTCATCCCGCTCTTCGGCGCCGATCTCGTGAGGGAGGGGGTGAGGAGTGCGGGCCCGCAGCTCATGTAGAGATCGGCGGTGGGAAGGGATGGGAAACCAATGTGTCCTGTTCATCATGCCATTCGCTGGCTGGGGGCCCAGTTTAAGAGCCTGGTAGTCTTGCAGCGAGACAACTGGCGGCTGCAGGCAAACCCAGGCCGTCCACTCTTCTGCTTTTGGCTTGGCCTGTCTGTATCGCTGTTCATACAGGTGAATGTCAGGAAGCGTTTCAGTCGGTCAGGCGCTTCGGGAAACTGCATGCCCCTCCCAGTGGTGTGTGGCGCAGCTGGCTCGTGACGAGATGCAGCTGGCGTCTTTGGGTGAGACCGCGTCCGCAGCGGGCGCGGGATGCAAGGCTCGGCCAAACGCCGACTGGAAGGCGTGGTTCACTTCTGGCTTAGACAGAGGACCCAAACGGGCGCACGCGATCACGACGGACCCCACGCCTGACGACCACGTTGGTGGCGGATGGGTCGCTGGTGGCGGACCACCTCCCTCCTTTGCCCAGTGAAGGTGGCAAGTTCAATAAACTTTGGGGCCAACACTCTGGGGAGGCTGGGAAGGTCGCGCTAGTTCCGGCCCAGCCTAGAGCTACTCCTGATCAGTTGCGGGCCGTGTCCAAGAAATACAAAGTGGGTTCTGCTGTCACGTAGGATGGCTTCAATTGCAGACGCTACCAGCTGTTGTGTGATGACGTGTTCTTGGCTCTAGGCACCTTGTTGTCTTTTCGCGAAACCCACAAGCGGTTTCAGACCGATAAGGGTGTTCTGCTTCCGGCATAGGGTATGGGGGCGCACTCGGCGCCCCTAAGCCCTATCCTGGGGGCAAGAACATCCCCGTCGGTACTTGGCAGCAGGGGTTTTTCGAGGCGCGTCGGACGCCGTCTGGCGCCAGACGTTGCGTGCGGAGGTGGGCATGGCCTGCAAGGAATAGATTGCGAGTGGTCTCTCTTATGACAAGCTCAAATACTATGAAACGATCAACCTCGACGTTTTTAGAGGACAGATGCAAGATGCACCATGTCTCCCCGAAGTGCTCTCAAGGGTCTCAAAGCATGCTTCCAAACATGGGCGTTTTATCTCGGTTGCTTGCCTGCTCGACGGGCCTGTCTTTGTTGTCAATGGCGTGATTGCGGGATGCAGTTTCGCCACGACGCACACCCGAGTCTTTGCGTTGGAACTGTTTGATAAATTGCCTGGGTACGAGCAGCGTCAATGTTACGCCTATGTTGCCGACGCTGGAACCTCCAGTACGGGCAGTCACGGGCGAGCGGTGCATCAACTTGTCTCTGCGTCGGTCATGTTGCATCACGTGTCCACTGAATGTATGCACTGCCAGTTGGCGTTTGACAAGGCGTACGCGGCCGCCACGGGCAAGAACCTTGCGCGTTATATTTCGAACGCTCTTTACCAGCTGGCGGACCGCGCTCGAGACTCGACGGTCAACCGAGGCGTGGATTTCTCAGCCGGCCGCACGGCCAGGGTGCGAGGACGCTGCGCGAAGATGAAAGCTCGGGCGGCCTACGCAGCTGGGAAAATTAGAAAAAATCCACAAGACGATCGTGTTGAATGATCTGCAGACGGCAACGCCCAAAGAGGATCATTAAGTTACATGCGCCTTTCAATGTTGGCAGCGTGCGCAGGCGTGCGCCATGGGCCAGGTCACTGATATGCCATGCTTTGGTTTGCGCGCCCGGTGGCGACATTGGGAGGCGGACGCCACTTCATGCCCGGGTGCTCTTCGAAGTTGATCCTTCAAATGGCCGCTGGCGTGGGCGGTTCCACGTTCTGCCGTGCGACTTCGTTCCCACAGCCGAATGGCGAACGTGTACCGCGCAATGCAGACGAGACGTTCTTCCGTAACATTGACGGGCAGATGCCACTTCATGCGACGGGCCCCGCCTGGACTGATTCAACATCGTTTCGGCTTCCATCCCGATGCCACTTTTGTGATAATTCCCCATATCCTAAGATGGGGTTCTTGTTATTACTTGGACGCCTCCTACTCCCTCTTCCTCCTCCTCTTTCCTCCTCCCCTCCTGTCGGAGTCACTCATACTCAGACTTGCTCATACCCAGACTTGCTCATACACAGACTTACTCATACTCAGATACTCTCATACTCAGATCTACTCATACTCAGACCTACTCTTACTCACACATACTCATACTCAGACTTACTCATACTCAGACATACTCATACTCAAGCATATTCATACTCAGACCTACTCATACTCAGACTTACTCATACTCAGACTTACTCATACTCAGACATTCTCATACCCAGACGTACTCATACTCAGACTTACTCACACTCAGACATATCCATACTCAGACTTACTCATACTCAGACTTACTCATACCCAGGCGTACTCATACTCATACTTACTCATAGTCTGAGACTTACTCAACACACAGCAGATTGCGAGGATGTCTCAAGCGGGGCGATGGTTTCAGCACCCCTAAGGGGAGCCGCCAGGGGTGGTTGCACGGGCTCGTTCGCGGCCATTTTGTGGGGATGTCTCCGGCGGTTTGCTTGTTTCTGGGCCCAACATCCTTCGCTTGGAAAGCAGATTGTGAGGATGTCTCAGGCGGGGCGCTGGTTTCAGCACCCCTAAGGGGAGCCGCCAGGGGTGGTTGCACGGGCTCGTTCGCGGCCATTTTGTGGGGATGTCTCAGGCGGTTTGCTTGTTTCTGGGCCCAACA